TGTGTGTGAGAACATAGCCCAGATAATGTAATATTACAGTATGGCAGTCCGCCATGTAATATTGTGTACCTGTAATATTCACGTTGGTGTGCCCGATTCCAATGTATGTTCCGGATGCAAAGACTGGATCTTCACTATGATTGTAGTGATATGACAAGCGAGATTGTTTACTTTTAATAACTGAACTGACTACATCTCTTCTGGTTATAATGCAAAGCGTTTTTTTACTATTCTACTGCATGATATATACAATATATACAAGTAGGGTTGTGAGACGTAGTGTTTCCTTCAAGGTATCAGAAGGAAGTCCTCTCTAGATAACTAATACTTTTCATACAAGCTTGGGGTGTGGTGGACTTTCTCTGATTGGTTGAAAGATATCACCTTATCCTAATCATTTGACTATTACATCATTTTGGGGAGTTAATATAACAACTTTGGGGGTAGAACTTAACTTATATTTAGTAACGAGCTGTCTCTCAGTCGAGCTTATTTTATAAATCAAATATAAGGAGTTGACCACTTGGGCTTTTTGTCATGAATTGGCTATTGTCCTATCAAAGACTTTACATACAATAATTAAGGAGACATTCAACAGGTGTCTAATGGGTTAGTGAGGTAAAAGTTCAGTTTAGTGGTATAGTTGAATTGGCCTATATAGTGTTGGTTATCTTAACACTATATAACAATAAACCTGTTCTCATATACACTATAGCCCTTATTAATGTCTCCTTAATAGGTGAGTCCCATGAGAATGCGTAGGCCGTAGTGTTAAAATATATACTCTCCACCTTTATAAGTTGTGTTCACTATAAAGTGGTGTCCCCTCAGGGGTGTTCCAAATTAGGGTTTCTATTGTTCTTGGAATTGTATTGATAATGTTTCTGTTGGAAATATTAGATTTTCAAGAAAAACAGAAAATTTATGTAAAGGTTTAGGAGGCAGTGGTGGCACCAGGATTTGCTGGGAGTAAGGTGGAAATGTTTCTGATGGGAATTAAGGCGGATTTCTCCAATGAAGTGGGTGAACTTGCATAGTATTTAGTACAGCCTTTTCTTTAAACAAGTATACTTTTAGCAACAAGCATATGTGGTGAAGACAAGCCAAACCAGTTGCTCGTCACAAATCCTGTTTCAGAAATATTGGCCAAAAAATGCTGGAATGCCAAATTTAAAAAAAATCTATTTTATTGCACTAAACTAACCTTTATGTATCCATACATCATGTGATGCTGTTATTTTCCCCATTTTCAATGTTAAAACAACAATTTTTTTATGATGTGGTGATGATTCTATCATAAACTTTGAAGGCTGATTTCTCAAGTATTGTTCTGTAAACAGGTGTATATCATTCTTATACAATAAAATTGATTTTCATATTTTCTCACCTTTTCCTGTCAGCTTACTGAGCACCGCTTTGTATTCATTTTCATCGATGTACGTCATCCATTCATCTATGAACTCTTGCTGATGTTCCACTGGGACTAATATGTTAGCTAAATCTTTGATGAGCTTTCCACTAGAATGTATTTCCCATAGCTGCATCAAAGCATTAGGATCATTTGTTGATAGGTAAAATACTATTGATCCTTTCCCAACCTTGGTTAATGTTAGACCACAACGTTTGTAATAGATAATAAGGTTCTCAAACTTTTCAAAAAATTCTGGCATATCCTTTAAAGTTAGGGAGTCTTTATTTTCATCCAGTTCATTTAACAAATTAAGAGCATACTTTTTATATGGTCGTCCTTCAGAATCACAGGATTCTCCTTTGCGTTTCTGAATTACTTTCACAGCAATTTCTTTCAAAATAAAAGATAAAATGACATATATTAAATCTATAATTATTAAACAATCTAGCATATATAATTTATACTTCACATGGTCAGTAATCAACAATATCTGTACTGTAGATATAAAATGAGAATTATGACATCAGAGTTGTTTTGAGTAAACAGTATTGTCTTCCACAGTGTGGCTATGTTCACACACACACAGCGTAAGGCTGGCGAGTTTACGCCCTTTTTGTGTGAACTAGATAGTTGTTGCACAATGCTTGCTGAGTAATCAGAGTAAAATTGTTCATTTAAAGTACAATCATCAAGTTCACTTTGAACAATAGGCCTAATCATATCAAGTTCACTTCAAACAATTCACATATTTAAAAGTGTTAATGATGCACTCTAAATATTTTACTAAAGTTGAACACGTACATTTTAATCTGAAAACATTCTTCCATAGGCCTATATTATTACTAGTTTAATGCCAGCATTATAGCGAACGTTTGTGTGAACGGTTTGGAATTTTAATTCATGAATTAGCTTACACCGGCGTAAGATTCATCAGTCTTACGCAGTGTGTGTGAACATACTGCGTGTTAAAATATAGAGGCATAAAAATGTTCTTCAAGGTTAAATGAATAATAAAGCAGTTGAGTAGCTTAGTATAATTTTAAATGTACTGTGGGGCAGACATTTTGTACCTGTTTTTTCATGCATTTCTTTTTGTTAATTTTAATTGTTAATTATTTCCTTCTTTCCTACATGAACTTGGAAAACAACTTTAGTTTTTGTGTTATAATTATAATGATCAACCATACTTTACATGAACATGTGTAATTACCTTCACTAAGGCTATGTCCAGAGTTCGAAGATGCATTTGGGATTTCTGTAAATAAAAGTTAATTTAATATAATGCATTACAAATTCTGAAGGTAGACATAATTAAAAGTTTAGGGACAATGGTGTGTCACCATTTGGGGCAAGGGAAGTACAGGTAGATCCTCAAGAGAGTGAGGAGGACAGTTATTCCAAAATGTCAGCATGGGATTGTTACGCCTTAAAGCATTGCCACTGCAATAAATGGAAGATTCATTAAAGAATAAATCTCTTAATTTTCATTTTAGTAACTCATAAAGCAATTCAATATTAAATATAATAATCATATCCATTTCTTGAGTCAACACCCACTGGAGCCTCATCTTGGTTGGGGTTAAGGTGCAAAAATTTAAGGAAATAGTAGGCCTCCCTCTAGATGGCTGGATGTGGACATATTTTAATAGTAAAATTCATTATCATCACCCATTTTACTCAGAATGAAGATTTTTTTTTCATTTTCAGAAACCATAGAGATCTACGATAATTTCTGCGATGTACTGTACCACAGGAAAATAAAACTTTAACGTTCTTTGATGTAATAAAGTAGCAAAGCCAATAATACTGCAGATTTTCACTATATCCTTGATCAGTTGTTCTCAAAAATAAGGGCCAGAATTGTTCATTGAATAAAAGTTTGAATTGCCAGGGCCAGAGATGATGGCACATAGTGCCCTCTGAGCACCACAGTTGCATATCACTTAATGGGTCATCAGTATACAGTATTTCTTTATTGTTTACTGTTGCGATACTTCTTCTGATTTGATTGATTAAATTGCTACAATTTATGGGGCAATATATAGCCACTGGCAGTTTAGCTAATCCATGATGGACTGTACATATATAGCCACACCAGATGACAATATTAATTTGATATAAAAATAACAATTAACTTTAATACCTTGTTTTAAAGCTTTCACAGCATGTTGGAGGTTAAGGGTACCCAATTTGTCAATGAAGGCTTTCATTTTTCCTTCACAAATTACCATGTTGTGCTCCAGATCCATAATCAAACTCCATGTGTCTGCATATTCCTTTACTGGATTGTTATATATTGCACTGATCTTATTTACATCTTCATCAATCAGCACCATTCCAAGCTTCATAATTTTTTGTCTGTGATGTGTGAATTTCGAGATTTCTACATCTTCAGCATTTTGAAATACTGGCAGTATATCTTTGATCCCTCTTTGCTCTGTTATGTTTATGGTATCATAGAGAACATTGAGATTAATATGTCCAGAAGCAGTTAGCATATCCATTAATTCCATCACTCTTGTAGCCTTATTCAACATATAATTATCTTTCAAAAGATATCTGTACAATACTTTCAGCATATTTATTTTTTCACGTTGATCATACCATTTTGAAATATCTGACAACATCTCTCTCAAAGCATCATCATTGATTTCTATGAAATTAACAAAATAGAGATCTCATATTCAGATGTAGATGGTTCATAAATACCCTTTATTTACAGTGAATTCAAAGTTATTTAAAAGAAAATTTCCAACATTTCATTATTTATTTGATCAAATAAATAAACATTAAACAGAAATTAGAAAAATGGGTAGGGCCACCGAAAAAATAAATTAAATTAATCATGAGAAAAAAAAAGCTAACACAAACATAGATTTAAATTGAAGATGATCTCTAAATCTGCAAAATTAACTAATGGTATTGAAAGCTTATCCTAAACTAGTGGATGTCAGTTGCCTAGAATTATTATGTTAAAGGACAATTTGATACAGTCTAAATATAGGATAGCCCACCAACCTAAAACAAACATTTATATCTTCTAAGTGACAATGACAATAATTTTAATTTCTCCTGAAATGCAAGTCATCTTTCTTATAGTCTTAAACCCAGTCTTCTAGACATGCTAAATAGATGGAGGAAGTTGAGGGATTTTGGATTTTGAAGTCTCTAAGCACATTTAAAAACTGATTCAACTTACTGGTAGCCATCTTGATATAAAATCCTGTGAATTTTAAATAATTAAAGTAATTATTAAATAATTTAGAATGGATAAATAATCATGAATAAGTAATTATTAATTAATTTTAGTTCATTAAGCTTTTATTCATTAAGCTTTTATTTACAAGGTACTAAATATACAAATAATGATTCCTTAACCAATATATATGTGCCAGGTTTTGACATACTACAAAGTAAAAAAAAAACTTTTTTAGAATAAACATCTATGATTGCATTTTTCATATACTATATGAGCTGTTTTTGCAGATCTTTGGTATATTATGTATAGTCTGATAGGCCCTCCAGTTGTAAACTTTTCACACATTATATTTTATATTTCCTTACACAAATTCTAGCTAAAATTATATCCTTGTTGCCGTGCAGATAAAAATTGTATTTATTAGGCTATGAGAGTGGAGCTAATTAATTGGTCAATTCATTTGTAATCTATGATCGAGCTGTTTAACATGTACGCACAGTGAGCATCTGCCTTGTGCTAGACTTGCCTTGTGCTAGACTAACAAGTTTGGCGCTCGTTGTCTCTTGAGGCAGAATTCTTACTGAAAAATATACACACACTTTGTTTAAACTGTCATGAGAGGCAAACCCACACAAAAGGCAATTTGATAAACTGCTCTTGTGTGTGCTGGGCTTAAAAGTAGCAATCATTATGGTAAGTGATCTGTAATATAAATATAGGAAATATCTAAAGTGATAAAACACCATGAGTATCCATTTTTATTCTGTAAAGTATGTGCAGCTAATTGATAGAATAGATTATATGAATATTACTTTATTTACCATATTTGTCTGGCACACTTCTCTTTAGCAACTAATAAATGTATAATATCTTTGCAGGTGAGGGCTCTCATTATTACTAGTATCTGTCTTTATTTTTCATAAGACAATCCTTTCTTATTAATATTTACTGCATGTATCTATAATAAATATATAAAATCTGTTAATCATTATTTGGTTTATTGGTCTGTAGTAGGCCTACATACCTTATGAACATACTTGTATAATACATACTTTCCTCATTGATATTTTGCTCAGGTAAATAATATTTTGATTCAGTATTTTCAATTTTTTCTGAATCATTAATATGTTAAGCATTGGATCTAATACTAAATAACTTAAATTAATGAAATATTTACCTTAAAATTCTTCGGTTGGTTTTTCAGTGAGGTGCATATGTGAATGGGTGTTTTTCAAGGGTTTATTGTACCTTAGTCATGTGATTTTGGTATTTGTGTTTCTTTGTGAATGCTATCAACCAACCATGACTTTGTGAAAGCAGAGACTGAGCACTATTCAATAGTAAATTGTTATGTATTGAATACAAATTATTACAGTCAGAACTCCTTTTCATTGTCATATCTGTATAACAGTCTAGTGTTTTTTTTATTTTTTTTTTGTACTATTGCTCTCATTATAATCAATTCAACAAACAAGACCCCAATGGAAATAAGTCTTTTGGACTACCTTGCTGGGTTATTTTTTGAATTTGTGTTCTTGACACCGAAGAAAATGAATATACCGATCCTTTTGATCCTTCTCTTTTCCCCTCTCTTTTTCATACCTTCTCTACTATCTTGTGTTCTATTCTCCATTCCTTTTTCATCTGCCTTTTGTCCTACCCTTCATTTCTATTGATCTCTTTCTTTCCACCTTCTCGTATTATGCTGGTCAATCAGGGGTGGCAGGGGTGTCATATTATAGTAACTCGATGCCTATCAAATAAGTAATAAAAATTCGCTATAATTCATCAAATATCCGTGGCTTCTAGGGGGCTAAGCCCCTTGGACTCCCACCGGGGGTCCTAGGCAGGCCCCAGCCAAGTGAGACTCGATTCGCTCCACCCAAAAATCTCATTTGGGAGGGGATCCTTCTCAAAACCCCTTCCCCCAGCTCGAGCCTATGAGCTCAAGTCCCCCTGTCGGACAACTTAGCCCCCCCCCAGAAAATATATCCTAGAGCCGCCACTGTTTGTGAGGACTTGGTAGCACAAGTGTGGGCAATAAAGGTAAAATTGGTAGTTAAAGTCCCTGCTCTGTCTCGTATCAAAGTAGCATAAT